AAAGTCATAACATAAACTTCCAGCAGAGAATTTTGCCTTTTCTCATGAGTATTACATTTTGTTTCATCTCTCTTGTGCATATTTTAGTCTGAAGATGGTATAAATCTAACCAAAAAATAACTGCTTTGTCATTTATTGCCTTAACTGAGTAGAGTAGAATAGAAACTGTGTCGAAACGCGCTTGTAAGTTATTTACGTCTTTCTATCATCATTTATTGTCTGAATTCTTGGACACAATGAACATTCTCGGATTATATTTCATTTTCTGTCCACTAAAACTATCGGCAGGTACTAATTAATATCACGGGCGAAGTTTGAGCAAAATGCATGCGTCATACTTGCTTTTAGCTACTTTTAACAACGGTTTATTTTTATAATAGAGAAATTCACGAATTACAGCACGCGTGTCTTCGTTGTTATTAACGCATGATACACTAATTTTTTGCCTTCATCACGTGACATACATTTAAAACCTTTGCCATCCTCACGGAAAGGTGGTTTTATTGTATTTTTTTCCTGTACTTCCTGCCGCTGAATTGGAATACGTCCGTTACATTCCGGTACTGAAACTCATATATTTACTACGTTTCGCAAAATTTGGACTCTCACGGAATGACCTTGGGTACAATATACTTTTATCACTGAAGGAGGGCTGCATTAGTCTGGCGGTAGACAGCTGTAACACGTGATGATCACTGTCAAAAATAACTGAATACGATTTGTGTGTGCTACGGATTGTGGTGTAGTTCCAAACATCATCTCAGATTACAGCGTGATGTTCTCCTCTTTTAGACAAGAGACTCTGGCGACTCGCCAAATATTGACATTATTTTCAGCGCGTGGTTGATCTTGGATCCAAAAGTTCCTGTTTGGTAACTTTTACTTTGTTTCAGCAACAGATCCAAAAACAGCGCAAAATGGAAAAAAATGAATCCTGAATAAACACAAGAGAGGATTGTTGTGGCAAGAATCATTTCAAATCCGACAGATTACATGGCCAGTGAAAGGTCAATTTGGAATTACAACATATAAAACTCCCTTCTTGTAACACAACGCTTGATGTTGTTCAGTTGAGTTTAGATCGATTTAAACTAAATGGTAGTCACAAATCACTCAAAAATTACTGTGTATTTTACTTATTTTATCCTTTTCTAATAGTTGTCTCATTCCACGACACTTAATTCAGTGTTCTTTTAGTATGAAATCCTTGCAAACTAAACGTGGATTCGCTTCTAACCAAAATTCACTCACCAAATCGGAAGATAATGTTTCTCTACGAACTTAGTGTACGCTTGCGGTCTCACAAAACTGCTAATGGACGTATGAGTCATGAGGGGAACGTGAATGCGTTCAGCGTTTTTCTAGACCTTAAAGATGTATTACTTTCTTAGTAAACAAAGAAACACCATCTTCTCATTTGATTAAAAAATGGAAAATATTTACATCCGAGAAGGCGCCGGAAACACGACATCCGGGACATACGTGCTCTATGCACTCTCAACTCCAACAGTATACGGCAACTATTTCTAATATTCTATACAGTACACGTTAATTGACAGTATAACTTTGATATAGTGTAAACCCGGCACCGGATCCTGAAGATCTAGACAAGCACGATTTAATTTGTAGTTTGCATAGGCGTCCGTTTCGAACCAGAGCAAGATAGTTTTGGTGTAAGCTACAAAAGGTCAACTCGTGAATCTAGTTGGGACGCTTGTCACCATTTTATATCCTTGCAAATGTATTCCAGCTTTTGCTTATCTACATAGCTGTGCAAAAGGGGTTCGTATACAACATTCGAGAGATATATGCACTTCCCTAAGCTGCCCTTAATTAAAAGATTAAGCCATCGCCAAATTCGTGATATTAACACAATTTTGCAATAATATTATCTAAATTGAATCATGTAAGTATACAGACCATCTATGAGATACGACTTACCGAGAGAAATAAAGGCAGACGCGATAACAGCGAAAACCACGAGCTTCATGCTTCTTGTCATGTAAAAAACTCGAGGGTCGATTCCGTTTGCGTTTTCGTCTCCAGAGCTGCGCGTCCCTTCTAGACGGCGGGGCCTCGACTCTAGGAAAAGGTGGCTCTTTAGACCATGATTTTATTCTGGACTAAGAACTTTCACCGAGTCAGCGCTGGTTTCCTTCAGTCAAGAATTAAACTGGCTTATGTAAAACCAAACTAACCGTTCGATCACAACACCGAAAGATCAAAGACCGTTAGGAAGTTTAAAACCGGTTTGCGGGGAGAACTGTCAAGGCAGACATGATATGAATGGTCACCTCCGGCCAAATTTTTACCGTTTTTTAATATTCTCTTAGTCAAAATCTGTTAAAGATGATTTCCAGCCCGTACTGCGCGATCTCAGCAAGCCGATGTTTGTGAGTCTCACTCGATAGAATGAGAATCGATGTTTTTCATTAGAAACCGCTTCATGCAGTTTCTTTGATTTTTACAGCTACGAAGTTGTCTCATCAAGTGGTATGAGAAAGAGCGAAGCATGAAGCTTTGCATCCATAAGAGCGCTTGACATGAAACTTTGAATTTGTTTCATTTACGTAACTGCGAAATGTTACATTTTGTGACGTCTTACATGATTCAAAACAAAAAACGTAAACAAACTCTCGAGAGTGCGCAGTACGGACTGGCAATCATCTTTAAGGTCTGGTCTGTAGTTGTAGGAAACAGCAACACTAAGCAAATGGTCTTACTCAGGAGATCAACCAGAGGATATTCTCGGGAATGAGACCAGTGATGAATTGGTGAAAATCTATCTTTGTCCACCGACAGGCCAGACGTCAGCCAAATTATAAGTCCCCAGCCAACTTTTCCTTGTGCCTAGGTCTCGTCGGCTAAGAGAAACAGACAGCTCTGGATACAAGAATGGGAAAAAACTGACTACAAATGTCAGTTGTCAGTTAAATTTTTGAGTATTTTTCAGTTGTCAGTTAATCCAATCCAGACCTCCATGTTACGTAGGCTAGTATTGGTAAAAAAAAAAAAAAAATGGAAGGATATACGTCCTCTTGGAACTCTTGGAAATCGTTGTCACAGTTGCGCAACGGTAGAGCTAAATGAGATTTCTGGCGTTTGAGTGAATACGAATTAGCCGGAAATGAATTAATGTTTCTGCGGCACGAGAACAGTGGGGACTGAGGCTAGCCCAGTCGAATGAGCATGTGCATGAGGGAGGGCTATATAAGAGATGAATTTCACGTGGGATATCATTCTAGGACGACATCTCGGTTGAGACAACGTTATTTTATTTTATTTATTTTCTTTTCTATCAATTTTATTTAACTTTATTTTTTAGGGCATTTACTTTTAAGTTTATCGTCTCTGTGTAGCTTCGTAGGATGGGCTATTTAGAGCTCCTACCTCGATTTCATGCCGAGTTTTTTTTTCCCCTCTGGGGTTTTTTTGTGGAAGGTTTTCTCTGGCCTCCGTCTGACCGTACTATCTTTGTAAACTGTCGCTCAGCTCTGTATCATCTTAAATGTCGCATACTTGGATGTAATGAGAGGTTGTAGTATAACGTTTTGTTATAGCTCCCGGTGCTCGGCCAAGACCACCAAAATAAACCTAATGGTTTTGCTCGCATTGTTTGCTGTGTAGTGGAGCCGAAATAGGCGAATAGACCAATTTCGATATATTAAAATTCAGCCTAACACAATAGACCTCAGTACGAGGCTCTGGGGAATAAATAC